GGCGGGGGGACATCCAGCCCAGGGCCACCTACAGTTGCCAGGCTTTTAAAGGATGACGTATTCAGCTGCTCTCCTGTGAATGAGGAAAATCCGGAAAGAGATTCCCGTGGAGGAACACAGGTCACGAAGCTGGTTCCAAACTCATTCCTGCCACTTTCGGAGAGGTGCGGCGGGGGGGCACCCCAGCTCCAGCTCGGGTCACCTTCGCTCTGCCACCCGCACCTACGCAGCAAACCCACTCCTCTGCAGGGGATGGCTGTTTCCTAAGAATATTACCTCTGTCCAGTCTGAAGAAGGAACCAATGCTCTCTGCCTCCAGGCTGTAACGTGTTCAGTGTGAATTTACAGTGGATGGAAGGTTAATGGAAAGCCTGGGATTACAAACTAATAGCGCAGATATTTTCCCCACGGAGTTTCACCCCTTGTTACTGCCCCGGTTGATGCCCAGCAGGAGGTGGGCTGGCACTAGGGCGTTTGCTGCGCCTGCTATGTCAAACATGTACCGCATATTCACAACTTTTTCTCACGACATCAAAACCTGAGGGCGATTTGAACAAACACTGTGGGAAGAGCAAGATCAGAACACTTCCAGCCACATCTTTAGCATATAAATAATTTGAAGATAGCATGGCCTTCTTAGTAAGAAAAACTAAACTCCTCCAGAAGAATTCGTTGCTGCAGAGGCAGCACAAAACCAGCTTGAATGAGTTTGTCTGCTTTCACTTTCAATATACACTGTAAAATTTTAGTATACGTTGTGAGATTACCTTCTGCCCTCAGTCAAAGAACGGTAGGAAAACCCACATGTTAGACAAAACCATATTTCAAGTTAGAGCCAAGTGCTACTTATCTTGGATTAGAGTGATAACCACACTGAATATCAGTACATAGGAGGCCAGCAAGAAATTCTACCTTCAGAGGAAGAGGACAGACACCTCTGGGCATTACAGCCAAGAACAGGAGAAAGAAATCCCACTAGCCTTGGACAATGTAAGAAGCAGCAGTAACCTGGAGGGATGACATTGTTAACATTATGTCCTCTGTACATGAGAGGAGACGTGTAACAAACAGCTAGCTGAGACCTGGCTTTTGTGAGAGCCTGTTTCACAATTCAGGTAAGAAGTAAAAATAAGAAGGCAATACCACCATCTTCACAACTTTTACATGCAGGGTTAAAGAAAATCTGTGGCTCCCGGAACCGTTCATGCAGCTAAAACATGACAGTGCTTATTCTGATTCAAAGAAAATCTCCTTTTACAGAGTCTCACTTCATGACTATCCCGGTTACCTGAGGAAAAAAGGCATCTGTAAATGCCCAAGTATATTTAGAAGCTGCTGCTCAGTCTCCACCACATGTAGCAGAGAGGTTAGATGCCAGAGAGACTCTGATCTCTGACGAGTCCAGTGAAAATTGGCAGCAGGCTTTAATGCCCCCACTGAGGGAAGAGCAAGAAGTCAGCTGTTATCCAGCAGCAGCTGCCTGGCCAAAAGCGCACATGTACTGGCCAGCTGATCACCCCGCACACTGCTCTGCCCAGGCAGCAGGTCAGAGAGGGAGCCTGAGAAATGAGGGGGTGGGAGGGCGAGGAGAGCTGGGACAGGAGAGGAATCGCAGGGCGCTGTGAAAAGGCGTGACAGACAGGCTTGGGAGGTGCCAGGACATTGAATAAAAATCAGTAGGAAACCAGATTTTACTGGTTTTGTTCCTTCAGGAACAATCTGTTATTTAAGAAAGAACACATTATATTCAACTCTACACTTTATACTCAACGCTGTGCTAAGATTCTGTATTTAGTGAGAAGAACGAGTATCAGCTTCCTCTCGACCGCACATCAGTGTATTTCACATTCTACACGGCTATAGAATATTCTTCTCCTTCTCTGAGGCTGCACTAGCAAGTCTAGACAGATAATATCACACATTAAGGCATTTTCTCTTGCATTCATAGCACTGCTGGATGACAGTAATGTCATTAGCTTCCTATTGAAGGGCATTAGCTATTGTTTAGCCATGGAAAAGCTCTCCTTTGCTTTTCACAAACAGTATAAAGAGTAAGGCAGGCAAAACCAACATTGGAAATATATCAGATACCATAATCATGCACTTCAAGAGAAATCTAAACTGCCCTTAATTCTCCTAAAGGGCAAATTCCATTGGCAAGCAACTTATGCTGAAACTGCAGAGTCAAAAATAAACGTTGGCCTCTTTAATGGCTTTGGCAGTAGAGTATAAATTGAAGGGGAGTAATGAGAAAACACAGTAACAAACAGCTGGATTGATGCCGTGAGGTGCTGAGCGCTGTGCCTTGATGCAAGAACTAATTTATCTACTTGCTTACTCTTACTCAAGTAAATGGTCTCCCTGGACTCGAACTGCAATTAGGCACGTTTCAGTGTTTAATTGGATGGGAGCAGAATTCCATGCACTTTGTGGGACTGAGTCCACAGAGAGTACCTTGTACGTCCACCAGACACAAACAAAATTTGTAACTCACTTGGAATAAAAAGGGTGAACCCTCACCCTTTCTCTCCCAAAGCCTGCTTCTAAGCCAAAACCTACCCTGATTCTACTCCCAGTCCCTCCTAGTTAAAAAGTTATACATACATTTTTTAATCCTGATAGGGAGAGCGGGAAAGAATTTCACAGCAAACTGTGAGAATCTCTCAGCTCTAAGAAAGTGTGTATTTTCTGTCAACAAGACAGGCTGCATTAAGATGAATGGGTTTGGGTTTTTTTGTGTTAGCCAGCATCTCACCGTTATGTATCCTTAAAAGTATGTGCAAAACACTTCCCAGTTCCCCAAAGATCTCAGCTACAGCACATCTCTGTGTTTTGTGTTAAGGAGTCAGAGAAACTGGAGAGGATACTGAGAAAAAAACAGAAAAATTAGCACAGATATAAAAGAATGGACTATGGAGAAAGACTGAAACCTTTCCCCTAGCGGCAAATGGCCCTGAAGAGGGGTGGGGATGGTAAGATGGTGTATTGGAATAATGTTCAAATATGTACAAGGTCTTATGTTCAAATATGTACATCCTCTTATAAAAAGGGGATACTGAGCAGTTGTTCTCCACATCCAACAAAGGTAAAACAAGAAAGTTACTCTCTCAGTTTACATAAACTAGCTTCAGAGTAGCTATTAAGCAGCCTTTCTAACTGTGAGGCTAGGACAAGATACCTCAGAAGACAAAGAAATCTCTCCTACTGGAGGATGCTGATAAAAGGCTATAGAAACATCAGTCAGTGACAATCCGTGTGTACACACTATCCTACCTCAGAGCAATGGCAATGGCCTGGATCACCTACGGTCCCAATTTTCCAGAATTCTGCACATCAGCAACTTCTGACTTCTCCTAACTTGCAAACTACCTAACTTAAACATCCAGAGGTGTAACCAGTAATTACTGGTTATTACAGTAATTAATTACAGCATTATAGAAGGGAAAAAACCTCTGCGTTTGTGTAACACTTAGTTCCATTGCTCGGTTGATAGAGAATGGTCACCTGCATTTCATTTATTGCCTGCTGTGAGTAAGAAATCCCCATTCGCTGTTCCAGGATATTTTGCTCAAGCAGAGGATATTGCTGCCAAACAGCGGCAGTGGTCTTGGCTGAAGAAATTCTCAGGGCAGAACCCCGTGGTTTGTCTCTCTGGAGTTAGACTTACTATGATTATAGATAATACTATGGTTATTAAATATGGCTTCCTCACACACCAGCTAGTATAAGAAAAGATTTATTTTGGTACAGACATGCCAAGCTATTATTAAAAAAGTCCTAGTGAGACATGTTTTGCCAATTAAAAAATCTTGTGCTTTAATGGCAGCGCTATATCATTTAATTCCCCCAGTGCAGCAGACAAGCTTTGATCCACACACTACACTCTGATCACAAGTCACGCTGAAAAAAAAACCAAACCAGTCTACTCAGGTGTTTTGTTTCACAGTGTCAAAGAAAGGCCACAGTAGGATTCTTCCAACCATCTCTGAACAGCCAGACGCTTAGCTATATTTACTGAATGGCTAAACTGCCAGAAATTAACTAAGTCGTTTTTGCAGGAAGATGTCCATAACAGAACCATTAGCAAGTCTTGAGGGAGGAAATTCGAAGACAGATAAACGAAAGCCCCTATTGTTATAGATTTCCAAAATGCTTTTCCATTATGGACATAGTTGCTGAATGTTTCCAGAATTCAGTGCTGAAACTTCACAAGTTACACACCCTAATGGTCCAGAATACAGAAAACTGCATTATAAAAACCAATAATGCAACAGACTTCTACTGTCGTGTCAGAAAATCTTATTATGTGAGAATTCTGACATCCATATAAAATGAAACATAGTATAATGGGGAATAATTGAGCTCGTTCTACTTACCCAGTCACTACATGCTCTTTATTATTTTCTGACTGCAAACACAGCTATTGGAATGGGAGGGGGATGGAGAGAAGAAGAAATGGCAGCCTATCCATATGACTGTTTTGGCATTCTAGCTTTAAAATAGAGGCAGTTAGGAACAGAACAAGTACGTTACGTGTTAGTTTTCAATGGAGCAACATGTAAGAAAGCCCTTCTGGATCACCTGCAAAATTACTGCCTTGCTGTTAACAGCCTACAACAGACTGTTAGTGCTAAAGGTTTTAATGAACATGTTTTGTCAGTAATAAAAGTCGAAGACAGAGCTGTCAAACTCAGAAGCAGGAAAATGCTCATAAAGAAAGGATAATTATCACTACTTACTGATTCCGTACTTTGTCCTGTAATATTCTTTAGTGAATTCATCACAATCACAGAGTGTTATCTTCCTTCCCCAAACATTAATTACTTCCCCTATTTTCAGGTCACTCTCTCTGTAAAAATCCTGATGCACTGCTCCTGTCTAATAAAAGAGGGAACATTTATACAGCAACTTTATAATTTTCAGAATCTCACAACCTTTCTTAAAATCTAGGTCAGTTAGTGTGTGTGATTTAAAATATAACCTTCATAGTCCATTTGCAAGTATTTTTCACCCCATGCTAAGCTACCTCACTTTCACAAATGTGGAATTTACATACAGTAAAACCCAGTAGTCTTCACCTGAGCTATTCTCCAGTGGCAACACAATTTTATAAATAACTCCACTGTCGAGGATAACAGCCACAGAAATTACAAAAACTACCATAAAGACATTCAACAGCTGGAGGCATTCTATAATTGCTGACCTTACGATTGTCCAGAATGTAACGGCCTCTGTTTCCTACTACCTTTCCAAACACGTTGAGAACAGTTCGACTGGTGATTGCGCCCGGCTGATACAGCCCAGTGGGAGCATACTGCAAGAAAAGAGATCAGCTCTTAGGAAAAAATACAGTGAACAGAGAAGAAAGACAACTCAGTTACCTTAGAACTAGGAGGATTTTTTTACAGCCTTACTGTTAATGTAGTATTTTCTTGGGAGAATTTTTAGTAAATTCTAAGGTAAAATTACACTACCAAACCTAAAAGGCAGTGTATATGTCAAAAGCCAGTATCTATGCCAGAAGCAGCATTCAGAATCTTACTGTGTATCCAAGAGCAAAGTCTCCTTTTTTCTTGGAAACAAAAAGAAAGCAAAGGTTAGCACATCCAAAGTAGCATATCCTTGTCAACATCTGCTCTCAAGGCCATTATTCAGATTGGTAATAATTATAAAAACATGCAGAAGAAGCACTCAGGGCTGGTCCCACTGCACTAACCACTGCACAAATACAGGAGATTCAAGTAAGAATGATGCTACTGGTGAAACTGTTAGTATTTTTGTTTCTATTTTAAATTTCAAAATTACCATAGTAATTTATCCCAGTAACATCAAACATAATACACAAACAGATTACATGTTTTTAAATTACGAACAAACTGCTGATGCAGGGCAACCACAGTCGGTTATTTTGTTGGACCACCTTCCCTGACACCCCAACTTATCTCCTCTGCTGTCCTTCTTAAAATTTCCACTGCATTCAGAGGAGGAAGCCAGCCCTTAAAACTGCAACATGCACTTCAGTGGAAGTGCTCTGTTAACACAGAGCCACTGCTAAATCAGCACCTCAGAACATAGGATGCACAGGAACGAAAAGTACAACATTTTGCTCTTAGGTTTTTACCCTCTCATGTACACCTATGGCATCACAAATAGATTACCAGTAGTAGAAGGAAAGGAGGGAAAAGATTCCCCACTATTTTACTCCATCTGTGGGTTGATGTCATTCTATCCTCAGGATCTGGCTGGAGCGATACAGAAATACCTCCAGCCTGTTAATTTTATGATTAGAATAAGTTCAGTGGACTCAAACCCCTTGAAGATTTCTCTGAGAGGAGCCTTCTCAAATAAGCCACTGATTAATGCCTGACAAAGCCTATTCATGGATTCCTAGAGATTTTAACTAGCTTTGTGTAAGGTCCCAAATCTAGTAACTCAATTTTAAGAAATCACTCTAGATTCACTACAAAAATATAACATCATGGAATACTAAAACCGGACTTTTCTAAAGGTTCAAAATATAAGTCACGTAGATCAAATCTGAATTCCCCTCTATTCTACATTGGTTTATCTATCAATCAGTCTTCTAGACTTCCATTGCTGAGAGCTTTATTAATACATTTAACTTAATACACAAAGATGGGAGAAAGGAAAGCATAGAATATCTTTCTGCCTAAATTCTCTCTCCTTCTAATTTAAGCACAACAAGCCTAAACTTATTTTTTTCCATCACTTATTAAGTTATTATATGAATATGTGTGGAAAACATAAATCATACAATTATGATTAATACTCTGATAACATTTTCTAAATATCATAACAACCCTAATACAGGATTTTCAAAACAAGACATTTAATATTTCTTACTTAGCAGAAGAATTTGAAATAAGATGAAATTTTCATTCCTCACCTTTGGAAGCTTATCTCTTTTGAGGAAAAGTGGAACAGCGTCCCGGCCTGAGTTTATTGGTATAATTTCTTTTATATCAATAGTATCATCAGACAAATAATAGTGCAGAACAAGTTCCCGCGGGTCATGAAACATGGACTCTGGGTCATCCCACACACAGAAAAAACGTAGAACATGTCTGTCATGCTCCAAAAATTGTTTCAGAGTGTCAATGCGCTCATAAGGGCGCAATGGCTTCATACTATCCAGAATCTGCAGATAGAGGAGAAATTAAAAGGAACACCTTTTTAATTATTTGCCCTTACTCTAATCCTAGAACATGCTTTTAGGATTTTCAAATAACACCACACAATGACAATACATGAAACACTATTTAAGCCATTACCAAATAACAATTTACAGGGTTGCTGTGCCCTCAGAAAATCTATTAAAATAATTTTGGCTTTTGATCCTTGTTTTTCTTGCAATAAGGTCCTTCATGTCAGAGAATCATTAAATTATTTATAGTACAGATCACATTTTCAACAAATTGCCAATGGTAATCAGGTGACTACAACTTCCTGCCTGATTTACTTCCTTGAAAATTATTTGTTATAGATGATGTGGTATAAAGAATTAATTCTTTCTTTCCCCTTCAGTGTTTTCTTTCTTTTAGCTTTAAAACATAGCTAAATAACTTTTGATACATGTCATGCAGTTGGCCTGTACTGGGTATGTATGTTCCCTTCTCGATATACGCTCATAGGTCTGAAAAGGAATAGCACATTTCCTGTTAAAGACATATTCCAGCTGATCTGATCTATGACAACACGTGATCGACAGTCAAGGTTTCCACAAAACCAGTAGCATTGTGTTAAATCGGATCTCAGGATGATGATCCAATCCGAGGACTGCATTTACATACTGTCACTTACAGTCACATATATAAACGGCGACCTGACCAGGGTGTTTCTCCTAAGTCAAAATCCATCACGTCCAGTGTGGGTTAAAGGGGCAAGACAGTCCTTCTAATCTACAGAATTCTACAAAATTACTTGCAAAGGAGAATGGTGACAGACATCAATGCGACAACGCAAGCTGAGCTGTCTGAACAGAACGAGCTGTTGACTATGGGCAGTTCATATCCTTGTCTAAGTTTCTATTTATCCACTGATACATCTTCTGGCATGAAAATCTGAGAGGGAACAGGCCCATTCTTTGAGAGCATCAAATCATAAAATAAGGAGATCAGACCAAATTTTGCCTGCCAATGAATGCCCTTGCTGATCTGCAGCACTCTGTCCATTTCAGGCATCATCATGTTCATACTTCTGATATTTACCATCCCATCACTGTCTTTCCTCCTTCCTGATACTTGAAGATGCAATGAGCCACGAAATACAGCCACAGAACCAAGTAACATCATCGTCCATGGGACATCATCTCCAGCAACAGAGAAATATGAATCTAAGGGTCTTGCTACATTTTTCATTGGTCTCATTTTCTATCTCATCATATTCCTTCCTTTCCTTTGTACCTTCAGTTTCTGTCCTCCCACACTATTAGAAGTCTGGTGCAAACCGATTTAATTTTGCTCAAAGCAGTCCAGAGCAATCCACCCTTAATAAATAAAAAAAATTAACTTCCAAAAATTAGCCACAGCGAAGTGAGAGTATAAAGCAGCCAGAATTTCCTACAACACTCTCCTGTAATTTCTCAATAACTGAGAATATTAAGACATAGATTTCAGCGATTTTTGGTCTTCTGATGCTCCTACTCCTCAAACATCTTATCCTCTCTCCATTCTCTTTAGACACATATATGTACAATACTTGAATGTTTTTCTTGTTGTTTTTACAAAAAAAAAAAAATCTAAGCAGGTTATGCGATACCACATACAATGTTGACAAAGTCTGCCAATATCAAGATGATTCAGCATGAGTTAACACACATCTGGTACCTACAAGGACTGAGCAAGGGAAAAGCAGCCCTTGGCCAGCCTGAGTCTGCACTACCCAGAACCAGGAGACGTATAACAAATACTGCTTTACGCTGGGTGACGGCAAAAAGCCTGAAAGCATGAATGAAGTGAAACCAACATGTTGACCTGAGAGTGCCTCAAAGACATGTAAGTGGTCCTACACATCTCAGTCATAGTTCCCTTCTGGTTTTGCTGCTGAGAGCCTCAGTGATTTTCTCAATAGGAGGATTAAGTTGAATGCCACAGACACGTGGAGCATTTGTTGCTTTCAGAGTAGTAGGCTGGATCTACCACAACAGGCTGAATATCCTGGGCCAGTTGTCCTAACAGAGTCAGGTCAAGAAAAAATTACAATGCCACCTGCACTCACACAAGTGAAAAGAAGTGAAAGACACTGTCATTGTCTCCTACAGAAAGCACCACTCCCGCTTCTATTCCCAGAGAAAAGATGAATGCACGTGGCACCTAGGAGCTGCAAGTGAGAATTCTGGAGGAGGTGTGTTTGCGTTACCATATACTCATAGAAGAGGGAACTGTGTTCAAATAAAACCTCCCAAGTCTTAAAACTGCCAACCGCTGGGTTCTGTGTGGCAACAGAATTTGCTTTACACATGCAAACAGCTGTTAATAACATGCAGGGTAGAGATGAAGGACGACATGTGAATAGACCAAGTGAGCCTGCAGGAAGCCACGGATGTGCTTGAACCACAATTCCAGTCAGATCTTCCTTTAAACACTTTAAAAGTGTTTATTATCATTAAATTATCTCAAGCAAAATCATAAGTAAAACATAGAAGTCCCTTTTTCTTTTCCTTTTCACTTTAATATGGAAAGGTTTATTTTATTTTTACCAGTTAATTTTGTCCTGTTTCAAAAGGTGTGTGAACACATCAGGAAAAATCGGTTCTATTCAGGACTTCACTGTGTTAATACAATGAGCCGTATAATAAAATTTTAAAAGCAAGTTTTCCCTTGTGATTCATTATGCTGAAATAGTTAACTTTACGTACTTTCTATTTGGTATTAGACACATATTTTATATAATGCATATTATTAATAGCAATGGCACTTTTATTAAAATCAAGTTTTCACTATTACTGCCTCATCTGACCTTTTGCCGCTCCTTGGTGTACGGGTCATCTGGACGAGCCGCAGGAGGATTTAATCTAACTCCCATCTTCCTCAGGAAATTTTTTGTAAACTGGTCACAGTCTATAATCTTGTATCTTTGGGCATAAAGGATTACTTCTACATTGATATTGAAATCATCTATAGTATAGAACTGATCTTCACGAGGAGGTGGAAGTGGAATCCGATGCCGTCGAACAATAGTTCCTGTAAAAGAATCAGAACAAGTTCAGAGAGTGAATACCCTTTGCCCCAAGGATCGCTTTACAGACTTGCTAATTTTCTATGCTGATACAACCAAAACAGATGAAGCCATATGGGAGAAACAGAATTATCCTTGGCTCAGCAAAAGAACTATTAGGTAAGAGGATCCTTTTTATCAACAACAATACTTCACACTGATCGTCTTCTAGAACCTCAAGTTCTAGTAATTGACTTAAATTAATAAGAAAATTGCCAACTTCTGGAGCAAACAGGACAGCACTGGAATAAAGCTCCATTTGTTGCTGCAAATGTTAACAAGATAGTAATTTTTCAACAAGAATGGCAAAGACACTGTTCTCATTAAGGTAAGAGATGTCTTTTTCACTTTTTCGGAGAAGCAAAGCAGTACTCATCAGTATCATTAATTTTTCTTCAGAAAAAACCCACACAGTAAGTTGTGCAAAAAAACCCCCATGTAGCAGGGGTGTATGGGAAGGACTAGATTTGTCCATGCTCTGCAGGGTAAGGAGAGACATACATAGCTAAGGTTAGGAAAAAAACCCCTGTCCTACCAAGGAAAGAACTGTGATCTATGAAGCATGGAAGCAAGTGCATTCAACTGAGCTTCCTAAAGGAGTCAACTGAAAGTGAAGACAACTGGAATGAGTAGGGCTACAGTAGAGAAATGTAAATATGGATCCATCTCTGACGTTACCGAGCCCAGAACTCATAAACCATAGTCTAACAGCAACAGCATCCAAAAGAGAAAGGAAGGGAAAATAAAAATAACAAAGAAAAAAGCAAGACATTTTAACTTTGTTACAGTTAGTACACGCTTAAGTTTTCTTCTTGACAGTCTTTAAATTGAAGGGCTGTTATTCTGGGAGCACTGTATTGGTTTACATTTATCACATTAAAAGAGAAGAAATCTGAAGGATCTGGTCAATCAGCTTAGAACTCACAAATACATTGATGAATTGGGTAATGCTTCAAAAGTATTCAGTGCTGAGGATTAAAAGACCATCTCTCAGGTAAAAAGGCTGAGAGAGCTGGGCCTGCTCAGCCTGGAGCAGTGATGGCTCAGGGGGGGATCTTAATGTTTATAAATACCTGATGGGAGGGAATGAAGCAGATGGAGCCAGGTTCGTCTCTGTGGTGCCCACTGACAGGACAAGAGGTAATGGGCACAAATAAAAGATACGAAATTCCATCTGAACACGAGAAAACACTTTTTTTACTGTGAGGGTGATGAAACACTTGAACAGGCTGTCCAAAAAGGTTGTAGAGTCTCCACCTTGGGAGATACTTAAGACCAACTGGACACGGCCCTGGGCCGCTTGCTTTAGCTGATCCTGCTTTGAGCAGGGAGGTTGGACTAGACAATCTTAAGATATCCCTTACAACCTCGACAATTCTGTGATAGCAAAAGTATTTTAGAAACAACATGTAAGCTACAGCCTTAGTGGCTTAAACATATAGGTAACACATACATTAAAGAAAGGTGTGCAGCTGCATGTGTGACGAGCTATGATTTATTTTGTGTGAAGTTAGAGTGCACCAAGAACAGCACATTGGCAAAGCTGGGACTAAACGCTTTTTTCCAGCATTGTGAGAGAACAAAAAGAACAACAGTGGAAGTTTTGCCACATCAATATCTCAGTATAGTTGAGTGAAAATACCCTGCAGAGAATAAAAAGATGGTCCAGTCTTCAACTTCAGGCTCTTTGCTGTGCTTACCAAACCAGACACCTCTGTAACACCAGCTTTATAACGTTGATACTCACTGGTTAAGACCAGACAGAAACCACCAACTCATGCTATTATAGTAATTCCTTGCCATCATAGGTTCCCAACAACTTGAAAATTACAGTAATTATAAAAGGTGCAACTTTAAGACAACAACAGTAAACACAAAAATTTCAAAACTAAAAATAGTACCAACCTACGACTGCAATAACAGTTTACTAGACACAATTATCTAACAGGTCTGTCTCATTATCTCCCACTACAGAGCTGGATCTCTTTCCAGTGCCCTTCAGCTGTGTATCTGGTAGTGCTTCCCACTGAGTTCCGTTTGATGATTTTCCAGCACTGCTATCTTGTTTTGGGGGACTGGAGAGAGACAGGATGAAGTGAGGCAAAGGAGGAGGGAGAAAAATAGTGCTGTGTGGTTTTGTTTGGTGTTTGCATGGCCTTATTTCTGAGTTAGTCCATGGACTTTCTTCATTGTTTATGTTATTTCCCTAGGGACTAATCTGTATGAAATACCTTCCACTATTGCATTATCCTAGTTGTTTGTTAAATTGTAACTCCTACAATGAAAGAATGCTTAATTTTTCAGGGGAATAAAGCAACAAAGCAGATTTACTTTACGTTCCCATTAAAATAATTATCTAAGACCCGTTCAGGATCCTGATGCTTCACATGTACCGAATCCAACATTCTGGTTACTGACCTTGGACTGTAAAATAAATCTGAACTTCTATTTGCTTAAACATACTTATATACATATTAAAAATGTATCATCATGAGAATATTTGTTAGAAAACATGGTATTTAGCACATTTTAACATGATGCAAAACTGCATCACAACACCATTAGTAAAACCACAAACTTTAAAATGCTACCGGATTTTGGCTAATCCTTGGATCACTCCTACAAAAATAAACAGATAATGTGCTATGCCAGAACAGTCCTCTGCATAAATGCAAATTCTGTTGAATCACCAATTTTGTGAAAATATAATGGTTGACAATTTTCTAATATGATGTATTTTCTGAGGATATATTCACCTCAGGACTGGTGAATAAGCTTTCAGATAGTTCTTCACATCACTTTTCAATGTATAATACACATGCCTGTTTTGCTCTGAGGGGTAAGAGTTTACTTCCTAATGGAAAATTCCTCATAAAGATAATATCTGTAGCAATCCTTTGCTTTTATTAGGTATCACTGTGTGTGATCTACACTGGCAGAGGACACATTTTACATTGTTGAATTTGAAATTTAATAAAACCTGATCAGCTGAGGTTAGGTCTCAGTACTTTTTAAATTGTCCTTGGTTCTGGAAAATAACTACATTTTTACTTCTAAAAATTCGCTACAAGTTGGCATAGGAGGATCTGGGCATGCACAACACTCAGGCTGCTCGAGATGGATGGCTGTTCCTGATGTTTCTTTTGTCTTTTGCCAGTTTATCGAGCAGGCTATCCTACTGCACCAACAAGCATTATTTTAAATATTTGCATTTGGCCAGGCATTTGTGCTCTTGTAAAGGCAGTTGGGGTGTTGCATTTCACTGACAGTGGTGGTGGCATCAAGTTCCCACACCACAATTTGTAGCATTTCTTCTTTTTTCTCAAGGCTTCTGATTATTTGGCAACTACAATGGCAGCTTACAGAGACCTTAATAGTAGCAAAGGCCTTTTGACTATGGGGCAGCTTATGAAACTGGGCAGCAAATTATTTGGTCTCCATGGCTACACTGCTCTGCAGAAGAAATAAAGTGGTATCAAGAGTTTCCTCAGCACAGCTTTCTGACTCCCTCTGCACTACTCGAGTGAACCAGAGAGAGGAGAGGAATGGCTAACACCTGCACTTCGTACGCTCTTTGACTGCTTGCACAGAAAGAAGTGACTGTTAGTATTCCTGCAACACAGAATGTTCACCCCAACAAACAAAGGGGCTTCTTATGTTAACTTACTCAGAACGTAGCAAGGTCATGATGTGGCCACCATCAAGTATGGAAAAATCACAATTATGTCAAGGCCTCAGGGGAGATATTAAACTCTTAGATAATCGTTTATATTGGAGGAGCTGACTGCAACTTCACTTTCCCGCTTGTACTTTCCTTTTCAGCCAGCCAGCCTTGGGAACCCAGCCAGCAGGCAGCTCCACTCTCTTTTTCAGCTGGCCGACCTTGGGGAAACCAGCCAGCTGCTTCACTCTGCTCTGGCTTGCAGGGCCTGGATTGAACTGGAAGCTAGAGTCAACCCCATGGGACATAAATGACCTTTTGATAAGACAGTATCAGCCAGCCATAGTCCTGTTAACTGGGAAGTAGATCTACAAAACACTTGCACTACCATATCTAGCCTGGCTCTCTGTGGGAGAATTTCTTTTTGCATGGGAAGAATAATCAGCATTCTGGCTCTGGAAGAACACAGCAGAGTTTGTTATGTGGTCGAGTTTACTGTCCTTCTCTTCACTCTGTACTCCCTTATCTTTAGTTTTTGTGCACTGTGACTGTCCTGGTATTTTTTGTTTTGGTTTCTCAAGTTCAGGTTGGCCTCTGCATTCCTTTGTGTTTTGCACTGAATTTCTCTGTCTGTATAGACTTCTTCTAATACTTCTAATATTTTCCAAAGTTCAAACTATAGCAAGGCAGTTTCCAAAATGAAATTAAGTTTAAATTTCAGTTATTTGGTAGCAACCTTTTCTGTCCAAATTCATGTCCAAGTACTGCAGCCAATTCCACAATACACTTTTTTAAGTCACCAAAATCCATTTCTCACTGATCATTTACTGTGTGGCTCGGAGATTTTGATGAATGGTAAAAGCACATTTTCTGGCTTGCTTTGTTTCCTGAAGCCAATTTGTTTTAGTTTTGTAAAATCGTAATAGAAGTTAGAAATCATTCTATGACAGCTGTCCCTTCACCAAATCTTTCTGCAGTCCATAAGCCTCTCCAAGTTGTTTTTTCCTGCAAATCCCCAAGTGCTACCCACAGTGCAGAGCAGAGTGGGAAACAGTTACATTTCTGTGACCCCACTGTGCCTAGGAACGCCCATTCAGACCATCAAGCTCTCATTTGTGGCTTACGGCACAAGCACCGGTAACCTCGTGGCCTCAAGGCACCAACCAGCCAAGCTAAGAAGATCTATCTTTGATCTACCTTACCATCTGCCTTTGATCTACCCTCACTGCTGTATCTGCTCAGCAAGACAACTCCTGAGAACAGCCACTTGAGCTGTCTACTTTACATCTTTTCTGCCGGGGTTAACATCCAGGTTAAGCTCACCACCACCTTCCGCCTTCAACAGGTCAATTCCACTTTTTGCCACCACAGCTTTTTGCGTTTCTCCTTTACACAACACCTTTCCTGCCACTGCAACTCTCCAACTGCTCACACAGCCTGAAACCATCCTGCTCCTGGTGTCCCCACAGTTCCTTCTTCACCCCCGTCCCCACACCTGCGCCCTTTTGCTCAGTGCAGTTTGCCTTTCACCCAGCCAAGCTCTCCTGCGGCTGAATTCTCCTCTGCAAACCACTTTTAATAACTGGAACGTACTTCAGCAGACATGCAGAGGATGGCATTATGGTTAAGTTCAGCTCCTCATCCTGTTAATGACCTTTTCTGCATGATCGTGGGCAAGATTTTCATTCCTTTATGCTTCAGCTTACTGGTTTCACAGTGCAGAGAGTTACGCTTCTGTTGTTCTCAGGCTTACAAATTCCCAGGCAGGACAGGGACTTTGAATAATATAAAACCAACAGCTAATGGTTTGGGATTTCTTTTTGAGAAACATTGATTTTGCAGATATTCAACAACAAATATTTAGTGCCTTTAACATAACAGCTTTGTGGTTGTTCTTCAGCTACAGAGCATGAAGTCACCGCCCAAGTGCAAGTGAGTAAAAAATCCTCTGATAGACATCTCCACCACCTTTTTACTCCTACACCATACTAATTTCTAGAGCAGTAAGTATTATTTAAGCAGATGTTTATGATTAAGTATAGGCCCCAGATATTTTCAGCAACTGTGAAGCCTAAACACATACCAAATAGTCCTGGGGCCTTTCAATTTACAGTAGCTTTTCCTTCCTAAACACAACAAATATACAGAGCTTCCTTACCAGCCTATGTACCAGGAACAAATAAATTAATTGCATTTTTGAGATCCTGGAACATTTCTTCTTAATCCATCAGTTTCATACATTCTGTATACTCATTTATCCCTCACAAAATACTCACACAAAGCTGCAGAGACCTTGAAAACATCCTTGCATGGAAGACCGAGAGAATTCTTGTTTCTCTCTAACACCGCTGAGTTAATTTTAGATCCAGTACCAAAGGTGACTCCAAAAGCATTAACATAAGATAAAATCAAGGAAATAGGGAGAAATTGGAGCCTTTCTGTCACCACAGGATCATGACTACACTGCCAGGAACACCAGGCCTGAAGGGGCAGCCTGCACAACCCATACTATAAGGACAGTGAAAATGACTCATTATTATAGCTATATTCAAAGGAATCAGCTGTGAATTTGCTTTATCCTGCTCTAATGAACCTGGCTTCCACCTTCCCTCTCAAAGACGTCGCCTCTGCCACTCAGGTTAACTGTACTTCCTGTGACAGTGGTCATGAGTTCTAAGCCAAAAAATTCAGAAACAGCCACTCCCTTGACACGCAAGTCAAGGAAAACCTAAACCTGTCCATGTCTCTGGCCTCATGCATATGAGTGCAGGGAGGGGATAAATAACTTGTAAGTTCCCAAGAAAAGAGACGCAACATGCTTTTGTTCAGATCTTGAAAAAGCACTTGCCCAGGTAGGAGTAGGACAAGGTT